ATTGGCACAGGACAGAGCGGAGTTTAGGGCTATTGTACATAGGGTCGCTATGAGTCGCAGTCGACTCGACGGCACATAACAACAACAATAACAACAACTGCTCTATATAAAAAAAATCCAAGCAAATTTTCTGTAGACATTAATAAGTTGGTGTAAGAAGAGAGAACCCCCTGGAGAGCAACACAGCACTGGAGGAACAAAGCCAGAGACCCACCTCCTTCCCACTTAAGGAGCTCCTACACCGGTACAGTGGTGGAGAGAATGGGACCCGAGATCGAATAGACACACACAGCACTGAAATTCAACAGAGAATCCAGAAGCAGACCCATGCACAGAAAGGTCAAATGATCTCTGACACTAAAATCGAGGCAAGTCAACAGGGCAAGTGCGGTTTTTTCACCAAATGATGCTGAGACACCTAGCCAAGTACACAAGAGGAAAGGAGGATGGAAGCCTGTGGTCAGGTGCCCCTGACAGTTACCCATGAACAACGGACGTGACCCTTGCCCTGGCCTGTGCCTTCCCCAGGCTCTGTCCTGCTCAAGCCCACCTCTGGAGTCACTGTGTCAGTCTGTCTCATTGAGTCGTCCTCTCTTTTCTGACCTTCTACCTTTCTCAACATGGTGTCTCTCTCCAAGGACCATTCCTCCTGACAACATCCCCAAAGAAAGACGACGTGTCAATTTCCTTGCCTCTAAAGAACACTCTGGCTGTATTTCCTTCAAGTCGTATTTGTTTGTTCTTTTGGTAGTCCATGGAATGTTCAATACAGTGTGAATAGATATATGGAAAGGACACACCTTAATTTTTATTTTTTTTTTAACTATGCAGTGTCCCCCCTGCTGTTTGAATAACTGCTTCTTGGTTTACATACAGGTTTTAAATGAATACAATTAAGTGTTCTAAAATTCCCATTCTTTTAAATGTTATCCATCATTTGTATGGCCCCATCAAATGACTTAAAAATACAAGTAAACATCTTTCTACTATTCTCTGCTTTCAGCAAAGATGCATCTGACATCAGCAATGATGTCCATTGTGCAATGGCCTCTTTTGAATGCAGCTTTAATTCCTGGCAGCTGTTTGTTAATAATCTTCACTAAGACTTTATTTTTTTAAAAAAAAGTAAGCTGGACTCTATGAAGAGGAGTGTGGTATCAGGGTTGGAGGGAGATTCATCAATAACCTGCATTATGCAGATGACACATCCTTGCTTGATAAAAGTGAGGACTTCTTGAAGCACTTCTTGCAGATCAAGGAAAGGAGTCTTTGGTACAGATTGCATCTCAATGTCAGGAAAACAAATCTTTTTACCACTGGACCGACAGGCAGCATCATGATGGATGAAGAAGAAATTGAAACTGTCAACAGCTTCATCTTACTTGGATCCACAATTAACACCCTTAGTAAGAGCAGTCAGGAAATAAGGAGATGCACTGCACTGGGAAAATCTGCAGTTAGGGACCTCTCCAAATTATTGAGGAGTGATGATGTTAGTTTGAGGAGTAAGGTTCATCTGATTCAAACCACAGTCTTTCCAATTACTTGCTATGCATCTGAGCGCTGGACAATGAATAAAGATGACAGAAAAAAAAACCTGATGCCTTGGAGCTGTGGTGATAGAGAGGAGTACTGAACATCTCATTTGGCCAAGAGAACCGATATGTCTTGGGGAGGGTAAAGCCAAAGGGCTCTTTAGGGGCAAGAATGATGAGGCTTTGCCTCACATAACTTTGGGCACATTGCTAGGAGGTGCTACTTCTTGGAGAAAGATAAGATGCTGAGAAGGGTGGAGGGTTGGCGAAGGAGAGGTAGACCCTTGACCAGGTGCATTAACACAATCACTGCTGCAATGGGCTCTTGTGTGTCAGGAAGTGTGAGGATGGTGCAGGACAGAACAGGGTTCAGATCTTTTGTTCATAAGGTCGCTATGAGTCGTACTCAACTTGACAGCACCTAACAACAAGAAGACTTTACTTGCATCTTGCGCTGTTACAGCAGAGAGCCACAAAGGGGATCGTGGGTGTGGATTCCATGTGAAAGCTGGAGAAGGATCTCCATGAATGTTAACACTGAGAGTGAGGAGGGTGGCTGAGAGGAAAGAACCGGACTCTGATGGAGTTTCTTTCCGTTTCCACTTGGTTTCTTTGCACATTTTCCAGTCTAGAGGTCTAAAAACATCATCCAAACAAGAAATAAGAAATGACCAGCGGTTTCAGCAGGCTACAAAAGACCCAAGATTTTGAGAAATGCTGGAAAAGGATAAAAAAGTCAGAACCAACAAAAGATTTCAAGAGTTGTTACATGATAAAAAAAAAAATTCAAGCTAATCTATGCCCTATTGCAGGAGAGGAAGACCCTCGATAAGATGGATTGATTCAGTGACTGGAGTCATGGGGGTAGTAGGTGTGTCGGAGATGGTGAGATTGGCACAGAATAGGGCAGAGTTTAGGGCTGTTGTACATAGGGTCGCTATGAGTTGCAGATGACTTGACAGCACATAACAACAACAAACTATGCTCTGGATAAAAAAGGGTGCCCTGTTAACCTCAGTACTATGGAGGAATTAAAATATTACAACCTTTCAGATTGATTCCAATCTCTCCAGTGAAGAAAACAAAACCTTGGATCAAAAGAAAATGAAGAAGAAAAAAAACCCAGGTTACAATGGGAACAGACTAAAAGTCTAGTCAAGGAGAAAAAGGCACCAAGAATATGAGTCAAAAGGTTCCTAACGGTAGAGATGAATCACATAATTCTGAAAGAATTCCAAAAGCCAAAGTAAGTCCCAAGAAGGATAACCAAGAATTTTTTTTTTGTGTCCCTTGGTGAAGAAGCACAATCCACTGATTTTTATTGCCTTTTTTAAAAATCCATTTAATTAACTCAGAAGCATAGCTGGTTTTCATTTACGGGTTTCCTGAACAGCAATCTTCTCTGGCAGCTCCAACTGCTTCTTGCAATTGCTCATGGAGAGGGCAGGGATGAGTTACATGTGTGAGGGAAAGGAAGTCTCAGATTACAATCTCTCAAAGAGTGAAAAGGACAACTGGCACTCCAGGTCCCATAAACCCCACTCCTATCCACAAGAAAGTAACCACATCAGGAGCCACTGCTCTGTTTTGCTGTCAGTCTCTTGTCTCTCTCTTCAGCAATGCTAAGTCGAATGCCCTTACTACAAGGTACAAAACATGAAGAAGACATTCAACATATTACAACCTCCTTCCCTAAGGAAAACCAAAGGTCGCCGACTCAGACATCACTCCAAGTATGAAATCACTCAAGGTCAAATCTTCTAAGACAAGAATTATAGATTCAGAAAGCAAAATGCTTGCTGAAGGTTCTCCAGAGGAAAACTCAGAAAGTGCTAGTGTAACAGATGATGAGGAATGTGAAGATGACGCCACAGGAGTTGGTAGAGCTTTGGGTGAAGACCGTGATGAAGGTGAAGAGGAGGATGAAGATGAAAGTGACAGTGGCCGTGATCTTGCTAGTGGAAAAGGAAATACAGAAACTAGTTCCAACGATGAGGATGATGAAGACTTACTTCCAGGGTAACCCAGTTTTGAGCTTGCTTGGGATAGATTAAAGGCAAAAGGCTTACTGGCTCTGTTCAATTCACTTAAACCCAAAGGAAGTGTTATATTTTCAGTAAAGATATATCAGTAAAGAAACCTGAGGATGAAGGAAGAGCAAGTTCAAAGACCAGTGGAGTTAAGTATTCCTGAAGATGCCACTGAAATGGGCTGGACATCCAGACAGAAACTGAGAGATTATGAATTCAAATGCCAAAAGTGCTATTATGTAATAGTAGACTGGTTCTCCATAAGAAGCCAATACAATCTACGAGGACTGTGATGGCCTGGAATTTAAAGGAGCTGTTCTTTCACAGATCTAAGGTTCATACCAGATGGTACTACTTTCCACGATGAGCCGAAGGAGTGGATTTAACAGCATATAAACCAAAGTCACAGGCGCTGCAATGGGGACATCCATGGTAGAGGGCACTTGGGAAGAGACACATCATGAAAGGCCGTGCTTAACAGTGAGAATAAAAAGTAAGAGCTTTTGAACATGGATTTTTCAGTCCTACTTAGCTTTCAGTCATGGCGATGAAGAAGAGGTAGAGGAAGATCTTCAAGGTAAAGACAGTCAATGAAGAAGAAGATGGAAAATGAAAATCACAAGGATGATGATGAACAAACTGCCAAATACAGGCAGCTCTTACCACTAAGTCAAGAAAAAGAAAAGGTGAAGGAAATGAGATGGAAATGGAAATTAAGTGGGTCCCAGGTTGAAATGTGCAGAAGGTAAAAAAACAAACAGGAAGGAAAGGATAAACATACCCCTTGAGAACAATTTCTAGAGGAAGAGAAAAAAGACTGAAAAAGAAACAAAGGCCTCTTGCTAAAGATACTAGTAAATATGAAGTGCCCTTTGATGGGGATTTGAATGACACATCATCCCTTGCTGAGGTGAAAAAAATGGGTGGAAAGGAAAAAAAGAAAATTCAACGCACTCTGCAAAAGAGTCCTCATCGCCAGAGGAAGAAACTGAGGTAGACGAAAAGTGGAAATGGCTTTGTTCATGATGGAGGAGGAGGAAGACAGCAGGAAACACTTCAACTACAAGACTGCAGAGCAACCTACAACCAGGAGAAGATAAAATAGATGAATAGCACCTTCTAAGAATCAAATCCCTATGCACATCCAAAAAGTTCCCCAACAGGGTAAAAAGGGAAGCCACAGACTGGGGAAAAATATTTGGTAATGACATATCAGATAAGGGACTTATATCCAGAATTTAGAAAATAGTCGAGCACCACAACAAGATAAAGGTAAATAATCCAATAGAAAAATGGGCACAGGATATGAACAGACAC